TTTAGTTGTTCAGATAATTTCTTTCTATTTTTTTTTAGTAGAGATGGGGTCTCGCTCTTGCTCAGGCTGGTCTCGAACTCCTGAGCTCAAACAATTCGCCCGCCTCAGCCTCCCAGAGTGCTAGGATTACAGGCGTGAGCCACCACGCCCGGCCTATAAATACAGTTTTGATGTGAAGAAATCTAAAATTAATAGCATGCTGACCATATAATATTAATCTGAGCAGTAATTCTGGATCAGACAGTAGTACCACTCCCAGAGGGGTTATCAGGAAATAGGAGAGGGCATTCCTTTGGCTTTCAAGTCTGGGAAGCCGTACTCACATGTACTAGGTACATCACTGGGTAGTGACCAGAGATGTTAAATATCTACCCCAAGGATCCAGCCCTGCACAAAATGCCAATAGCAAGTGTCTTATTGCAATATCCTAATGATATAATTCTCCCAGCCTTTGAAATTAGTCTTTTAGACTATGGGTTAAGAATTCAATAGGTTGTGAGTTATCCTGAGAAGTTTGTGTTGAGCTCTATACATTTCAAATTCTAATATATAATATTGAACTAAAATTTCTAAACTAAAAAAAAAAAAAACAGAAGAGACTAATTTCTACCAAATCAAATGTCTCAAAAAATGTTCTTCACAATTCAGAGGAATACTGAGTGGTTCAGGATTAACTATGAAGATGAATGCCAAAGTTAGACTTATTTAATGACCTGGATTTATTAAGACTATTTTCATTATGTTAACTGATAACAGTAAGATGAATAATATAGGACCAGAATATACAGTAAGTCCTCACTTAACATTGTTAAGCAAAATGATGTAGAGTAAGCCCTCAAATTACATCATTTCATTCAAGGTTGTTTCCTTGTAACATTAATGAGAAAATAAAAATTGGTCTCATTATAGGTCATTTCACTTAAAGTTGCAGTTTCCAAGAACCTATCGACAATGTTAAGTGAGGATTTGCTGTACCTTACTTCATAGGCCAGCGAAATGGCCTTTGAAAAGGTGTGTCACTAGAGGGGTTCAGCAAATGCAGCAGAGCAAAGGGATTATCTAATTTAAATAATTTACTTTGTTAAGGAGCCAATGTTTCGGTCTAAATCAAATAAGAGGCTACAAGCTTAACACAGAACTGTTCTTAAAGAAAATATTAATCTTTGCAGTTTCATATTTAAGACTGACTTTGTTTTGGGGACCAGACTCATTTTTTTGGCTCCATTCGAGGCCCTGTATAACTTTAGATGGGAACCTCCGAGTCAGCCCAGTTCACTGGCTATTTCTACTTTTGTAAAGTTGGGTAGGAGCTGTGTTTTCCTCATTAGAAAACCCAAGGCAGCACACAACTACAAGATAGTATTAAATAAAAACAAATAAAAAATAGTGTAAAAAAGATTCAAAGACAAGAAACTTACTATTCAAATGTTTCAGCCCTCATTGTTTTTCCCAGCTCAACTAAATCAGTGAAGAGGACTACAGCTAACAATGTGAGAGACTCTCTGTGAGAATTAACAAATATAACAATAACACAACAAAATCCTTTTCGCTACCATATATTTGAGTAGTGAAATCTACAGAATTAAATGAAATTAAGCCAAGTAATACAACAGAACCAGGATGAACAAAAATTAAGCTAAATAGGCTGGGCACGGTGCCTCACACCTATAATCCCAGTACTTTGGGAGGCTGAGATGGGAGGATCACTTGAGGCCAAAAGTTTGAAACCAGCCTAGGCAACAGAGCAAAACCCTGTCTCTACAGAAAAAATTTAAAAATCAGCCGGGCATGGTGGAGTGAGCCTGTAGTTCTAGCTACTCAGGAGGCTAAGGCGGAAGGATTGCTTGAGCCTATAAATTGGAGAATGAAGTGAGCTATGATCATGCCACTCCACTACAGTCTGGGTGATAGAGTGAGACCCTGCCTCTTAAAAAAAAAAAAAAAATTAATTAATAAAAAATATTTTTAAAACTCTGATAATACATGCTTTTATGTATTTTTACGGTCATTAGGGAAGATCATACATAAATTTGAGTATATTCTTCTGAAATACA